ACTCTAACTTCCATCATTAATCGGTTGTTCTTTCTGTCAAATAAATCAATCGTACCACCCGTCATTACAAGTTTTTTGAATTTAAATGCAAAAATTGCTCAACCACAATTTTAAAGCATCTTGTCGCAACTGCTCCGCCTGGACATGACGTTGTTAGCAATTTAGTTAAGAAATTACTTGTAAAATATTTACAAACAATAGTAAGATTGATTAAAAACATACGTTTTAATTAGCTATTTCAAAATCTGTGGGCAAAATTCAGTTTTCAGCTTATTTGCTCCCTATTCGACAATTTCGTTCCGGGAAAAGCGAGCAAATTTCTATCGCTTTCTGTGAAACAATATTTTATATTTTCTAGCGTAGAAAAAAACTCAATAGTTGGGAAACGGGTTATGGTAATCAGCTTAAAGTCAATACGCTCCGTGCTATATTGGCAGCCATTGTATATTATGCAAAAATGCTGACATGATACGGAACTTTGATATTTTGAAGACGTATTTGCATGCTACATCTTGAAACCTCAGTATTTTGCTGATTAGATAATGTGGTAATGAGTACAAATTGTCGCAGAACTCGAGCCTTAAAAGAATGAAAAATTGGACCAAGAGGTGTCTGTTAGATAATTTCAATTAATTAGCGATTGAATAATTTTTTTTCAGATGAAAACAACAGCTTCTGCACACCAGCTCAGCTTGTTCCTCCATTTTCAAGACAAAGTTAAATGATTATCCCAGCGATTTGAAAGAAATTGAAATGTCAAAATGGCAACCATTGATGACAAATTTTCTGGTTTCAATTGTTTTCTTTTATCGTGGATCTCCCAAAACAATCATTTCTGTCTTCCTTTTTTCTGTGTTACTTTTCAATCTCATGTTTTATAGACGAACAAAAATTTTATTTGGAATCATTTGAATATTGTCAAAGTGTCCCACATCTGAGGATAGACTGCAGTATAGCCTGGTGTCATCTGCATATATTTGATAGTCCAAACAAGTTTTCAAATTTACAGTTCGTATTGGCGAACGATAGAGTGTGAAGAGCAGTGGTCCTAGGAAAGATCCTTGTGAAACCCCAGTTTTAATGATTCGAGGTTTCCATATAGCTTTATTTATCTTCACACGTTGAATTCTACTACTGAGTATCCTGATATCAGTTTTTTTGTCGATCTTTCAATACCTACGTTTTTCTCGAGAAAAGGTAACAATTGCTCATGGTCAATTTTAGCACATACTGCTGTCAAGGTCTACGGCGATAACAGTTTTTTTCCTCCATCCAGCTCAAGTAAGATGTCATTGGAAGTTTTCAGTAGGGCTGTTTTTTTCGAGAAAAGCTTTCTATAAGCTAATTGTTTGGGACCATTAAAAATGTTTACTGCTTCCGTTATTGTTTTTAAATCATTTCTCAAGTGATAGCTTCTCTTTGGAAACAACTCTTGATTCAATTTTAAAAATTGGCAGTTGTAATTCAAACTATTTTAATAGATTGGCAGTTTTTGTTACAGGGAAGTCATTGAACTTCTCAGAAAGCTCTTGATCTTTTCCTTTAAGTTTAGAATATACTATTACTTCTTTGTATCCTAGCAGGTCTTCAAATTTTTTAAAATTTGACTTTCTTTGCTGTAGTGCTTATTTTTTTCGAAGTACGCTTTCTGATTTTTTATCAACAAATCTTTGCATAATTTTGTTTGGATCTTCAGTTTGTTCTCATTATGACTATTCTGCGTTTTATAAGCATTCGCTCTTAACTCCTTCTTTTCACTTTTTGCGCCTTGAATCTCAAGATTAAAAAGAAACGCTTGTATGTGCTTCGTCACAAGTTTTAACGGTGCGTGACTTTTGATGAGAGCTCTGATCTCTGCTTCTGTGTCAAAGTCTGATAATTTGTCATTTAAAAGCAAGTTGAAAAATTCTTCATTTTCGAACTCTTTCCAGCACACCGTTGAGAGGTTTCGGTGAGAAATAGTATTTACCATGGAATTTTGTCTAGGTATCGGAAAAACTGAGCAGAAAATGGTCACTGAAATTGACGTCGAAGACTTCTATTTCAGATTACATTTTGCTGTTCGTTAATAAAATCATACGTATTGTCACTCTTATCAGTTGGCGCCTCAACAATTTGATAGAACAGATACTCAGTCAAGGACAATTTCAGTAATATCAATTTAGACTTCGATTTATTGAAGGGAACATTGAAATCTCCCATATTTAAAATATCTGTATATGGCATCGCTCGAGGCATTAAGGAACGAAGAAGTCAATGAAGATTTTAAAGTTTCCATTTGGGGGCCTATAGAATGCTACAAGGAAGGGTTCTTCGAAAGTTTATTTAGGTTCTATGCAACCAATTTCAAAATCACTCTTTGCTTCTGAAATATCTACAGAAATGTCGAACTTTGAACCGTAGATTAGTTGTTACACCACCTCCGACTTTATCTTTTCGCGAAAACGATGAATGATTAAAAGTCTTCGAGTTTTCATAGCTTGAACTTATTAAAAATTCGTCTCCTGGTTTGTACACGTTTCCGTCAAAACCAATAGTTTAATAACGAGACTTGAAATTAGGGCGTAAACTTTGTCGGTAATTTTTAAATATAGAGTGTGTTTAGTGTTGCGACCTTCACTCGAGTTACTTCAATAGTTATTAGTCAACTTCCAGGTCTATTCAAAGTTTTAGCCAGTCGATAGCTCTTTTGTCTAGAAAAAGTCTATTAATGATTATAATTTCATTGAAATTTTTTAATTGTTCATTGTCAAAAACAACGTGAAAATTTTTGAAGGGATTCTTCTCGTTAGTTACTTCTCTGATATGTAGCAGTGGGGCTCCCTCGTTTTTACACCAAATTTTAATGTTCTCACAAGTGGTGCTCTCATTCACACGGCCCAAATATATGTGTTTTCCAGGGTTTGGTTTGTTCACTCCCGAGATGTTGTTGCTCTCCCGGGTTGACCAAAACTTCTTATCATACAATTTCCATATATGAAAAACTTCTTGTCGTACAATACAGAAAGTTCTATCAAATCTCTATGATACACATTTTTCCATATATGGAAAATGTATGACTAACAATTTGTCATAAATGGAAATTGTATGAATAAAAGTTTGCCATTTATGAAAATTGTATGACAAACAGTTTTCGGGAAAAAACTTCAAAAGAGGCAGAATTTACATTAAAGCACATCTAGTAAGCCGTGCAATCTCTGAATAGGGAAGAAAACCTGAGCAAAAAAAAGTTTTTTTGAGAAGTTGGAACCACAGTTTCTTAATTTTCTGCAGGAAACCTTCTCAAATCTTTAGAAAGTAGCAAGGTCCTAATCTGATCCCAAGGGGTATGCTGAAAGATTCTGGGAAGAAATGCTTGTCATACAAATATCATATACGGAAACTGCATGATAAATTTTTTTAGCTACAAACTAAATTTTTGTTTTTGGAGTCGAAAGTGCTCTCAGTGAAGCAAAGAATGCTCCTAATTAATTAAAACCTGATCACAATCAGCTATCGAAATATTTTTAAAAATTTTGCCTTTTATGGAAAACGCTTATCATACAATTTTCATGTATGGAAATTGTATGATAAACATTTTTTCCAAAAAGAAAATGATAGTTTTTTTATTACCAAACTGTTTTAATTGGATCACATAGCCCCAGTACGAACCTTTTTCCAATGATTTTTTGAAATTGTATGAAAATAGTTTGACAAGCAGTTTTCCATACACTTGATGTATGGAATTGTATGGTAAGCATTTTCGGTGTATGGAGGTCAACCCGGGCTGCTTCTAGTCAATCTTCGAAGAATGTTGCTTCTTCTTGCGGTTTACATCTGTCCAAGTATCGTTCTCATCGTTTCCTTCTATTTGTAGTCGTGTCGTGTCATTGTGGCACTATTTGTAGAATCAGTTCTTCTTCTTGGCGGCTTAAACCTTTTTTTATTTCACTGCTTATACCACTTTTACAAAACTGATCAATTTGCTGTGTGTTGTTTTGCCTGTCCTCCTTTTCTGTCCTTCTAGCCGCGTTTTCTTAAACATTTTTTTGACGTTTGCCAGCTCAACATCAAAATCTTTTAGTCAAGTTTCAATGAGTCCAGTTCTTGTCCATTTCTATAAGATAAGACCATATATTCTTAATTCCACTTTGATGACCGTAAGTTTCACATGAGTATCCCATCCCAATGTTCCAACAACTGTATTACTGGCGTTCAGGCAAATTCATGAAAAATGAAAACGTTGTCTGCACATGATACACTACAGAAACTTGGTTATTTCTGTAGATTGAGTGCACATGCTACAAGCTCCATTTAAATATTACGTTATTGCCGCATCTCTGACTTTGGAATTTTAGAGCAATCAGAACTAGATATTTTCGTCGAAGCTATAATCAATTTTAATGCTAATAAAAGATTAATGCAGGGGCGGATCTAGTATTTTCTCGAGGGGGGACGGGCGGATTTTCAAAAAATTTTCGAAAATTTTGTCGACCAAATTGATTTTTCGAGCTCTCCTAAAGCACTAAAAAGACGCTGTTTTCGCCAAATTTTTGAAAAAAAGTAAAAAAAAAAAAGCCGTTTTTGGGCACTTTTTGGAAAATTTTGACAAAAAAATTGCATTTTTTTTGGCGTGCGCTCCTCAAAGTTAGTATATATTGGCGCCAAAGGCGCCTTCAGAAAAATTTTAGGGTCGGTTGAAAAATGGATTTCTTTAAAAGTCCCAAAGGGGACCCTTTGGGTCGGCAGGGGGTCGAATCCCTTTGGGTCGGCAGTCCGCCCGCCTAAATCCTCCCCTGGATTATTGCCTTGTTCGGGGTGGGGAACAGTGCGAGCTTGATCCAAATATAAAGTTTGAAAAGATGAGCCAAATAAGTCTCAGCATTGACTTATCCAGGGAAACAATTTTTAATCTCAATAGGGCTTCCTTCAATTCCTAATTGTTTCTTCTATTGCGATAGGTTAAAGACGATTGCATTATCTTCCAGCAACAAAAAAAACTAAACATGAGGTTGTTTTAGTTTTTTCATCGGCCAACCCAGTCACTCAGCAGCCGGGTCAAGCCCCACCGTATGCCCAAAGCAACTTTGGAGGAGGGGGTGGAATGCAGTTGAATGAGTCGACGCAGAAACTTCTGTTTCATCCCTTCCCGTCAATAGCTCACGTGGGTGGACAGCCTTTCAAAATATACGACGAGCGGGCTCCCAACGCAGGCAGCGAGGTTAGCTTTCTAAGTCTCCAATTTTTCTTTTACATTGTTTTGCGCATTAAGAAGTTTTCTTACTATGCAAACAAACTTAGCCACTTGAAATAGCAGCCTTTGACTGAAGAAGAATGCTGATACATTCAAAAAAAATACTACTTGAAAAATCTTTTTGTTCCGACTTTCGATACGAAAGTAACGGAATATTTGTGCTCGGGGTGGGTTTTTTTTCTTCAGACAAATTTCGACTTTTTAACTAGCCATTTTTGACGGAATTTTTTTATATCAGTCGAAACGTATTGTTGTCCTGAGCTCAAATTTGAAAAGATATTTCACCTGTGATCATTTTTCGTAAAGTTACGGGGGTTTAAAGATTGCCATTTTGGCCAATTTGGGACAATTAACGCGCGATATATTTCGCACTATTAACGCTTAAGCGGAGATTTAATCCGTCTTAGAAATCGTTCCAAATTGGTTAAAAGAAGCTTATTTGCCATAATTGGTTTGTTACAAGGAGCAAAATCTATCCTTTTGTACTTTATATGGCGTGTGGGGGGATGATTTTCAAAAAAAAATTCACATTTTAGAAAAAAAATTTTCTTTCGTTTTATTTCATTGAGTTTTTTAATGTTATTACTGCTCTATAAACCTTAAAAGGCAGTCGGAAAATTCAGGGCTTCGCCCTGATACGAGCAGTCTTGTTTGCTTTTGAAACTCTTGCATATTTATATTTACGCTGGTCAGGTTGGGCTCATTGTGGAAGTTTCAAAATAATTTTTTGACCTTCCCGCACAAACTTTCAATTAAACGATATCCTGTCGATGTAAAAACCCATTGTTATTGTTCCGACTTTCGATACGAAAGTAACGGAATATTTGCGCTCGGGGTGGGTTTTTTTTTCTTCAGACAAATTTCGACTTTTTAACTAGCCATTTTTGATGGAATTTTTTTATGTCATTCGAAAGCTATTGTTATCCTGAGCTTAAATTTGAAAAGATATTTCACCTATGATCATTTTTTCGTAAAGTTACGGGGGTTTAGAGATTGCCATTTTGGCCATTTTGACCAATTTGGGACAATTAACGTGCGATATATTTCGCGCCATTAACGCGTAAGCGGAGATTTGATCCGTCTTAGAAATCGTTCCAAATTGGTTGAAAGAAGCCTATTTGCCATAATTGGTTTGTTACAAGGAGCGAAATCTAATGTTTTGTACTTTATATGGCGTGTGGGGGGATGATTTTCATCGAAACATTTTCAAATTTTAGAAAAAATGTGTTTCATTCATTTTATTTCATTTAATTTTTTATGTTGTTTATGTTATTACTGCTCCATAAACGGTAAAATGATACGAGTAGTCTTGTTGTTCCGACTTTCGATACGAAAGTAACGGAATATTTGTGCTCGGGACGGGTTTTTTTTTCTTCAGACAAATTTCGACTTTTTAATTAGCCATTTTTGACGGAATTTTTTTATTTGATTCAAAAGGTATTGTTGTCCTGAGCTTAAGTTTGAAAAGATATTTCAGCTGTGATCATTTTTTGTAAAGTTATGAGGGTTTAAAGATTGCCATTTTGGCCATTTTGACCAATTTGGGACAATTAACGCGCGATATAATTCGCGCTATTAACGCGTAAGCGTAGATTTAATCCGTCTTATAAATCGTTCCAAATTGATTGAACGAAGCTTATTTGCTATAATTGATTTGTTACAAGGAACGAAATCTCTCTTTTTGTACTTTATATGGCGTGTGGGGGGATGATTTTCACAAAAACTTTCAAATTTTAGAAAAACTTTTCATTTTATTTTATTTCATTTCATTTTTTTATGCTTTTACTGCTGCTCTATAAACCTTAAAAGGCAGTCGGAACATTCAGGGCTTCGCCCTGATACGAGAAGTCTTGTTTATTTTGTAGAACATATGGCCCTGTAACTGCAAATAATGATAATTGTACTACGCTGATCTGTCATTACACTTGCAACTTCAAACGACCAAAAACATCTCCTAAATGTCAAATTTTTAAAGTTTTCTATTTTGCTAGCATTCCCAGTTTTGTAACTTTAGGATCATATAATCAAATCTTAATGCATCAATATATTTTTACGCCTCCTGCTGGTTGGTTTTCATTTGAAACAGCATCGAAAGATAAATTTGACAAAACCAGCTCAGCCCGGGATTTAGATTCGAACATATTCTCAGTTTGGATCATATGCACAGTGATCAAATCAAACCTAAATCCCGACTTAGTTGATTGCCAAACTTAATGCCCAACACTACTTCATTCAAATTTCATGATGATTGATCACTTCAGTCATGAAAACTCGAATCGGGTGCCACAAAAATATTAGCACGTCCTACTGACACCGACCGGCACCTGTAACTGACTAATTTATAATTTAATTTAATATAGTTATCAACCAGTGACTCATTTTTTCAAAGTCATTTATAATGTTCAGTCATATTATAATCTTAGAGAAATCCAATACAAAAACAAAGTTTTTAAGTGAAGTAAAAACCGCAGGACAAAAATTGTTGCGAAAATCGTTCCCCCATTTTCTATTGAGCGGGCTAAATGCACAAAAGTATATTACAAGGGCAGGAAGACAAAAATGAGCATAGAAATACTCATAGTAAAACATTAGAAAGACTCATACGCGCAGATGAGAGGCTATAGTCGCCCGAGTTGCCGAGTTGCTCAATGTTTGTAACCGATGGTCTTAACTTTTAGTATATTCTTCCGAAAAATGTGTTAGACCCCAATTTGAAGTTGAAATGAATGAATTAACCTTATTTTCTGATGGTCGGGTTCGATATCAATTTACATTAGGCGAGGTACGGATCTAAGATTTTAGGCAGGTACAAATCTAGTATTTAAAATCTACAAATTTGAAATTCGACTTCTTCAAAATCACTTTTAAACCTTTTTTTTTGACAATGAATTTTTTGCGCCGCAGACACTTTTTGGAAAGATGTTTAGACAAAAAATTGCGTTTTTCCAGTGCGCTCTCATATTGGTGTTCTCAAAGGGACCTTTTGGGCTGCCAGTTGGTCAAAGCCTACTCTAAACCATATATCCGCAACTGCCGTTTGAAAAAAATCAATCCGAAAAGCAATCAGTTGGAACTGGAAAATTGCAGATCTTTTTCCAGCTAATTTCTTTTCAGGTGTTGCACTTTGGCGTGCAGCAGCCAGTTTGTCAGTGTGGAGCGATGTGTTGCTTGCTAACTGGCAGAGAAGGCATGGCTGCCCTCTCCGACCAGTCCAGAAGTCTCATCGTGAACTTCTCCATCAACACTCACTGTATATGTGCATATTACATGTATGGATGTCCCCAGGCCGCCTGCTCGTGGTGTCCAGGTACTCACTGGTTTCACAGTTAAACTGATACACTCCATTTTGAAACATATAATACGCGAATATATTGAGTAAGTCAATTACTATCACAAAAATAAGATGTACCAATTTTCCGCTAAATAAATATCTTTTGCCAGAAAAATAGATTTTTCTAAAAATGAAATTATAGTCTGGGTTAAAAAATGAGAAAAACCTATTACAAAACTTCAAGGGATATTTTTTTACCGATCATTTGAAATTTTTATACTGGGTACTTTAATTTAACTGCTTGCAGGGGCGGCTTTAGGGGGGAGAGCCGCCGCCCTACCCCACAGGGATTCGACCACCTGCCGACTTAAAGAGTCCCCCCTTTGTACTATTTTGACAGATCATTTTTGGTGACGGACCTAAAAATTTTTCTAATTTTTCTAAGATTTTTTGGTCAAAGTTTTCCAAAAAGTGCCTCAAAACACCTTTTTGGCAGGTTTTTTTTCAAAATTTAGCCTGGGGCGCAGAAAATTTGGCAAAAACAGGGACTTTGTATAGCTTTGGAAGAGCTCGAAAAATCAATTTGGTCGACCTAAAAAAAGATCGATAAAATTTTTGAAATTTTTTTGAAAATTCGCCAACTCCCCCCCCCCCCCCCCTCGAGAGAATCCTAGATCTGCCCTTGACTGTTTGTAAGATTTTTCGAGGTTGCTCGTTGCAAGCCAGTTGGCTTATTAGGAATCTTGGTGTGTGAAATGTGCACGTTTTATATGAGCTCTGCAATTCGAATATCAGAAACCAATTTAATTGGGTTTTAATTAATGTTATGTAGAGTAAGTAAATTGCTCATTCAAAATTAATTCAGAGCTAAGCATTCGGTATTTTCTTAAGTCGCGCCGTCAGTCTTTTCTTAAGTCGCGCCGCTTAAGTCTTTTCTTAAGTCGCGCCGCTTAAGTCTTTTCTTAAGTCGCGCCGCTTAATTATTTTCTTAAGTCGCGCCGTCAGTCTTTTCTTAAGTCGCGCCGCCAGTCTTTTTATAAGTCGCGCCGTCAGTCTTTTCTTAAGTCGCGCCGCTTAAGTCTTTTCTTAAGTCGCGCCGCCTAATTCTTTTCTTAAGTCGCGCCGTCAGTCTTTTCTTAAGTCACGCCGCTTAAGTCTTTTCTCAAGTCGCGCCGTCAGTCTTTTCTTAAGTCGCGCCGTCAGTCTTTTCTTAAGTCGCGCCGCTTAAGCCTTTTCTTAAGTCGCGCAACTTAAACATTTTTTTAAGTCGCGCTGCTTAAGTCTTTTCTTTTTAAGCTGTTTTACCCCTTTTTGGTTTTATTTCACGACAGCTCATTTTATTACTACACCTTTCGAGATAGTGCTCAAGAAGCATCCTCCTTTTGTACTATCTTGAGTTATCCACTGTTAGATAACTGACCTTAACCGCTTAAGTCTTTTCTTAAGTCGCGCCGCTTAAGTCTTTCCTTAAGTCGCGCCGCTTAAATCTTTTCTTAACTCGCTCCGCTTAAATATTTTCTTGGGTCGCACCGCTTAAGTCTTTTATTTTTAAGCTGTTTTACCCGCTTTTGGTTTTATTTCCTGAGCGCTATTTTTATTACTACAATTTTCGAGGTAGTGCTCAATAAACATCCTCCTTTTGTACTATATTGAGTGATCTTAACTTTTTTCTAAAGGCGTCTTTGGCGCCAATATATACAAAATTTGAAGGGGGAGTGCGCGCCGATAAAAAGCGACATTCGGTCAAAATTTTCCAAAAAACGCCTAACAACGCCTTTTTGGCCTGTTTTTTTTTAAATTTGCCTACGGCGCAGAAAACTTGTCCATAACAGGGTATTTTTAATAATTTGGGAAAAAAGGTCGAGAAAAATTTCAGTTTTTTTGGAAGTCCCCTGCTCGAGAAATTAAAGACCCTATTTTAACGAAATTTTTGGCGCCGCTGGCAAAATAAAAAAAAACAGTCCAAAAAAAACATTTTTAGTTACTCCTCCCTCAAACTTACTTTATATTGGCACCAAACCAAAGGCGCCTTTAGAAAACTTTAAGGGTCATTCAGCCAAAAATGGATGCCTCAAAGTAGTCCGAAGAGGGGATGGCTTTGTCAATCTTCGTATTAGGTTTGATTTTACGGGCCTTCTTGAAACATCGAAAAAGTTTTACATGACTCCAAAAAAGCCTAAAAGACACAAATTGCAAAAAAAATAGTTTCAGCTTACATTTTTCAATAATTTTTACCCAAAATCCTTAAAAATACTACAAATTAGCTCGGATAAGTTTAACGAACAATTTTAGGTTTTTTGATCAAATAACAATGTGATTACTAAACTAATCAGGGGCAGATCTAGGATTTTTTCGAGAGGGGGGCGGATTTCCAAAATTTTTTTGAAAATTTAACCTTTTTTTTTTTAAATCGACCATATTGATTTTTCGAGCTCTCCCAAAGCACTGCGTTTTTTTGGCGCTCGCTGCCCCATCGAAATTAGTAAATACTGGCGCCAAAGGCGCCTTTGGAAAATTTTTAGGGTCCATCGCCAAAAATGGATATTAGAAATTAGTAAAAAGGGGGGACCCTTTGGGTCGGCAGGAGGTTGAATCCCTGAGTAGGAGCGTCCGCCCCCCCCCTAAATGCGCCCCTGAAACTAATAGCAAAAGCGGGATCCTTTGGGATTAGTGAAGATTTGGTTAACCGAGAGTGAATTTTCCATCTCTAAATCTGCCCCTGGTTTGCCTGCTTTAATTTTTCAAAACAAAAGATGAGTGATTCACTGTTAGCCTTTTTTGTCTGATTTTTCCCACTTGGCTCGAACAAAAATTAGAAAACAAAAGCAGACAATTTAGTTTCTTTGATTTTACAGAACTTTTTTCTGCTTTTCTTGTAGAGTAGTTGCAAAGCGGAAAATCAATGAGTTTCAGTGTATAATTTCAGGCAGCTTCTGTTGGCCTCGCTACAAGTTAGATGTACAGGGTTGGAACACATCAGATGTGCATCTGCAGTCGATGGGCGCCGGATGTTGCGACAGGAGGAACCTGAACTACAGTGTTACCGACGCAGAGGGTCGGCAGCTTCTTTATACCAGTTCTAGTAAGACAACGCGGCTGGTTTGTCAAGTTTTGCTTTTGAGAACAATTATTAGTTCCTATGATAACACAATTAAAGCTTCTCTTTTGGTTTGACTAATCATTCAAAAAGTTATCAATCTGATTGACTTATAAGTTGACTGCATAAATTAGCGTTTTTTTAGTTCAGAAATATTCCAACTAGAGTTCATTAAAGGCCAGAAAAAACGTAAAATAAATTCAGCTAAATTCAATTCACAGCTTCAAAGTTTTCTATTTTTGGTTTTAGCGGGAGATCAATATGTAGGAAATCTGTTCTACGAGATGTTCCTGGGCGAAGGGAGGAGGGCGGCTACTCTGTCTCGTCTTAGTGACGACATGCTGGCATTGGAGTTCACTACAAGCGCTAGCACAGAAGAAAAGAGGCTAATTACTGGAGCAGCTGCTGCAATAGCAACTGCACACTTCATTCGATATGTCCCCATTAGACGTCGATAAATTTTTAATATAATGAATGAAAAGTAAGTTTTGTAAATACAAAAGAATGAACCACTCAGCCGATATCTCCCCATTAGACGGTAATAATTATCGGAAACAAAAAAAAGAGGAAAGTTTTGTGAATATGAAAACAAATAAACAGTACTAGCTTTCGCTAGAAGACCTAAAATTGTATATTTCTTTATTAACTTGTTGGGTGAGCATTGTAGAAATGAGGAATGAAAAATTCAAGTTGATCTTTTATTATGCTGAATTCAATAACTTCAATAAATCATTGATTTATTTTTCTCCGAAAGCACTCGGAGTTGGTCAAGCACGAGCTCGAAATCACTTCAGGCTGCTGTATCTCCGAGGCAATTAGCAGGTAAAATGAAGCATCGTGTACTGAAGTTTTATGGGCTAAGCGAGCTGCTGTATCCGATCGATCTCAGTTTTAGCCAGGATATTTTATAGAGTAAGAAATTTTTGCTCAAAAGAAAACACTGAAGCTTTATAAAAGCTGAACCATGCTATTTTAAATGACAACTCGAAAAATATAAACAAGTTTAGATTCCGATAATATTCTGACTTCTGATAACCTATTCTTGGTGATTATGCTTATATTCCCTCGCTCAACAACTAAATATTTTCTTCATGATTTTTTCTCCGACTGTTATAGATTTGTTTTTTTTTGGCAACAAAAAAATTTAAACTCAAATAAAATCATCGGAAATATGAATTCAGTTTTTGAGCTTGGTAGGATAAAATTAATTTCGATAGGGTTCTTGGTTTTCTTGGTGTAATTTATGCGCGCTTACAAATTTTTTTCAGTTATGATAAAAACTGAAACGTGAATTAACCAAACGCGGCAAATTGGATTCCGCAACGAGCAAATATAGCTAGTTGCTCCGGTTTCTGATAATCTAAGCGGATTGAGCAAAAAGTACGCGGATTGCGCAAAAAAACGGATCATAGTTGTGTTTGTTTTTCTAAACCAGTTCTTGCGTAAGCAATTAGGAGCTATAGCTGGAATTTTTATCTAGCAAATCCGGATTTTAAAAACAAGGGTTTAACAATCGTTGGTGGAATCCAAAAACAATTCTTAAATCTTTGTGTCAACTAAAACTGCATATGTACTTTAAATGCATTTTAACCCATGAAAGATTGTACCTGAGTTTGTTTTAATCTTTCAGTATGTGAGATTAGAAAGGTGATCATTCTTTATGTTTTTCAGATTGGAAAAAAGTTCATTTTTTCCGAATATGAGATCCAAAATGTATTCATTTTTTCAATATTTGAGAGTCAGTTGATGAGTTTAAACTGTTGGCGGTAAATGAAATTGAACTGTCGGATTAAAAAAAACAGATGAAATTTGAAAAAATTATTTCAAGACCTAACACCTCATGCAACAGCTCAGTTTTTTATATCTACTTCTAACTGTTTGTGGAATCCACAAATTGTTCCGGATTACGCAAAGGCTGTTGTGGACTCCTTAATTTTAACTGTTTTTGACGCAACTTTGAGGGGTACAGTGTTTTAGCAATTTGAATGTGGAATCTAGAACAGCGAGGAAGATAGAAAAGTAACATTAATGCGAATTCTGCAACAAATAAGAATTTGTCTTGTTGCAAAAACCGCTTGCAGTTCACAAAGAGCAGTTTGGCCTCGTCATTTTACCCAGATACAGCTGTGTAACCGTGTTATTCAAGCGTAACAAGTTTTATCTAATAAATTGTCCAACTTTCTTTTGTGTGTTTGTGCTTTGTAGCCTGAATGTATGGACACTTTATGTGACAGCAAACATTTTTATATATTTGAAGATGATTTTGAATTTTTTTAAATTTATTGCCAAAGTAGTTGTTTTGATGCTTGAGATTGGCATTTTGGGGCTAAAAAGCAAGCTAAAATATTTTTGGTTTATCAATTAAAATAAAAAATAAAAAAGAAAACAAATATTTTTTTCGCCACGAAAATATTTTGTGCAAAACCCAACAATAAAACATAATAAACTAAAATCAATTTTTCATAATTGACTATAAAGTAGTTAGGGGAGCAACATTATTTTCATTGTTAATCTCAATTTTGTTGTCATCAAGTTTGTTATAAGATAGGATTTGAAACCATTCAGGCATCTGAAATTCGCGCTTAGAACTTATTTTCAAGTTGAAAATTGAAATATAACAAATTTAATTTAATCGATAATTTAAGGATCGTTTCACTGAAAAATTCATTGAAAAAAAAAAGAGATAAGATTTCGAAATTTTTTAACAGGAGGCGTGTAACTTATTTTACCATAATATATATCTTTTTCAAACCTTTTATTCGTTTAAGTTTGAAGCTTTTATTTGACTTTAAATGAAACAAAATTGGTAAATATATTATATTCGAACTCTTTTGATTGCTTAATCTTGTTACTGAAAATTTTCTTGGAGAAACAGGAACCAGAGTTAGAAAGGCTTAACAGGAAGCAAAGGAGTTATTTTACAAAAAAAGCCTTTTTTAACCGAAACTGCCAAAATTTAATTGAAAAAATTACTAAAACAGCGATCACATGGGGTGCTTAAAGTCAGTTGTAGAAAATTGAAAACTCTAGTTATTCTTCGACATGTCAAATTCATATTTTTTACAGATTCGAACAGGTAATTTCCAGAATTTATTATTGTTACAATTTCTTCCCGCAATTCTACACGATGTCTCTTGAGATGAAAAATCTACTACGCATAAGGGTCAAGGTTGTTGTTATCCGGATCCTACCCTTCCCAGTTCGGGTTTTCTTACTTACGGAATTGGATTTCTTTTCTGTGTATATAACAAATTAATTGCATCAATAAAAAAGGCATTGATTGGTGTTTAGTCAATTTAACCGATTTTTTGAGAAAAGCGGTCAACATCATGAGTCTGCTTGTTTGAATAATGAGTGAATTGAAAACGAAATAGTGAAAGAACTAGAAGTTAATAAGGTTGTACAGACAGTGGAGTTTTTTCAATTTCTGAAAATCTCAGACCAGCACCTCAATCTGCTTGGTGTGCAAAGCATCTAAATAGAGTCATTTGGAGCCATGGTAAGGAAAAATATTGGGTAAGGAGTTCAAAAAGCGTTGACAGCTTCAAGTCCCAGAAACAAAACGTCAATTTCTGTCGAAAAATTTGGAAACAAATAATACAACCTTGAATAGCTATGGATACCCAAAAGTGCAAATTTTGATATTTAAAATTGAAGAACATGATTGGAGTTTTACCAATTTCGTTATGCTTAGAGTTTTGATTATGCAGAAAATAAATTAGCATAGCGAAATTTACTCAACGTTTTTAATTACAACTCAAATGCTTTTAATCTTAATGTACAAGATGTTTTGAAAAGATGAATTTTGATCATTGCCATTTTTTTCTTCTAGAATTAAGATGAAAGTCTGTCTGACAAGCTCGTAAAGTAGTGAAACATTGTTTTTCATGTAAAACTATCATGAACAAAAATAATGGATTTTTTTTTTCAGATGTAGTTGTATAAGTCATTTTTTTGTTATGATTTTGATACTAGCTTGTCAAATCTTTCGAAATACATCCACTACATGTGAAGAAACAGCAGTTTCGGTAGTCTTATCAAGTTCAGTCGGTTATATTTTAACTTTTACAAAGCTATGAATGAAATATTATCTACCAGAGAACGAGTTTTTTCCCTAGCTTTTCCAAATGGATGTAAGAAACACCTTGATTTGATTTCTTGTTTTGTAGACTCAAGTATAATTGGTCAAGTATAATTTTTGTAGTTCAATTTTTGATGTAAAACTTTTGCATCGAACCTTGTTATTGTTTTAATGGACAAATCCAGGAAAAACCTTAAAATCATCCAGAGAAATGAATCCAGGGAATAAAAATCATCCAAGAAAAAAATTCAACGCATACTTCGTTCCATCAAAACAAATTGGGGAGAGATGTAAAAATACAAAAAAAACCACTTGAACTATTCTAATTATCCGAGAGAGGTTTTACAAGCCAATACTTTAAGTCAGCAATTGGGGCTAGAAACTCAATAGAAGAGTAATATCAAGATGCCACATCTGGTTCTTTGATTCACTTACTCATTCATTTAACTTAAAAAGAGTCGGTTCGCAAAAATACTGCACAAACACATCGACTCAGTTTCAACCATAGTTGACTTATCGGCAGGAACAGAACTAAAATTTTTGGAAAAGCTACGTCTCTTTTTTATAATAATCCAAACATTTTCCCAAAAACTTCAAAATCAATCTATCCTCAATCGCTCAAAAAATTAATTCCTTGCTTCAGCGAGTGTTTCGTGAATTTTCTACTGCAAGATCTAAAAAATCTTTCAAAAAAAGACTTGGTAAAAAAATCGGAATTCAAAGAAGATATTGACTGCACGAGAAGAGAACCTTTTAAGATTCATTTAAGGGCTTATAATTAGTATATTCAATCATTCTATATGTTATTGAATGATATAAATACTATGGATTAGATTGTTCTACTTCCGTACTCAGTTTACAAATCACTATGAAAAAACAAAAATAGAGAAAAGTCAGAAAACAAAACTTTTAACCAAAAATTCGAATTCTAGTTTTTGTGCTGAACGACGTCAAAACACTCCCGAAAATTTAATATAAAAAGATTAATATATTAAATAAAAAAAGAATCATGATGAGATTTCAAAAAATTTGAGATTTCAAAAAGATTTGTGAGTTTCCTCAACAATGAGTGAAACTAAAACTGCATTTTCAGGGAGAGCTATTCAATCAAAAATACACATAAGATAATATTAGCTCAATTTCTGTTCACCATTGATTGCCACTATAAAAGATCTATTGAAAAACCACCACGAGACGTCAAAATATCTTGCAACAAATTTCTGACAAGTAAAATTAACCAAAATTCAAATTTGGAGACGGAGTAAAAATTTCTACGAATTTGTCACCGCAAGTCGTATAAACCCTATTTTACAGATGAAACGTTTGAGTTTTTTTGAAATTTTGGCAATATACACAAAGATGTTCCTAAATACACTGCCCAACGTCTCGGAAAAGAAGAAATGCTGTAAAACTTCACGATAAAGTTCTGAGGAAGCGTTAAAAGTAAAACTTGTTTTCATCAGCACAGCATAAGTTCAGTAGTCATGGAATCTATCATTCACGGGCTAGTTTCTAGTGTTTCTTTAGTTTTTATCCGAGTAGTAGTCTTAGTTCTCTTAGAAGTAATGTTCTACTGAAATAAATACATTTTGTAAGAGAATGGAAGCTTGCATTTTTAGAAAAACTATACCCTTTTTTGTGCCTTATTATCGAGGGGAAATTTACGTTCGCAGATGAAACAGAAAGTACCGAAGATCAGAAGATTAATGAAGCGAATTATAATGAGCCTTGGTTGCATCCAAGTATGTTCGATATAAAAGTAGCCATGAACAAAAAAGTTCAAGAATGTGTAGATGCACGTATTCGAGTGTAATTGATTTCATGTACCAATAGATAAGAATACCCAAAAAATTTATATCACCTGAGGACCAACTGGTGTTTTTCAAATATTCAGAGTGCTGAGTTGAATCTTTTTCATGATTTGACTGTGATTAAAACCAGTCAGGGGTTAAATTGAGTTGAAAAGAACCACATTATCCTTAGTATTCTGATGATATTGTAAGAAAACTTTCCATGATGACATTTACTGACTTCAAAGAATCAGATAAAGTTAGTGACAGAAAAACTCCTGCATTGTGTTGCGTTCTTTTCGTACCATAAATAAAAAGCGCAGACTTTTTATCTACAGTGCACAAACATGATTTATCAAATTTTTACTGATCCACAATTTCAAAAACTTTTGAAAGACTCTTTTCATCCGTAATACCAAAATTGAATTAAGAGATAGCTCTTCTGAAAAAAAATTTGTTGTCAAATGAAATACTCGAGCTGTTTTTTTTTCCGTAAAAATTTGGTTGATCATTTTTGAATAATAGTTTATAAGATATAGTGGTTCAAAACTCAGATGAACTTCTCAACTGTTTTTGGGCATCATGCAAGACAATTTAGATCAGATGAGGTCTTAGTGTTTTTTGGCGCGAACTCATGGGAGACTTTATTCAAAAACAAATTTTGAAAAACCCTTTTTCTCAAAATAAATTATCCCTGCTGCAAATTGAACAAATTTTTATTTAAAATGACGCTCCAGTTTAATTTATCAAAACCATTCAAACACAGTCGCTCTTCCAAATGCAGTTTTGATAATATAAAATAATTTGAAAAAATCAACCCAGTCAATGTTGTTACAGGCCTCTTTTAATTTCTTTTTTCAAGATTATTGATAAAGTCACAGTTTTGAAAATAAATATTTCATCTCACAATTGAGAGGTTTTTTCCAGCAATTCTTTTGATAAAAGCAGTATTGAGTTTGAATTTAAGACGGATTGTAGTCTCTGATTGGATATGCGCGATTTCCATCTTAAGTTAAACCCTCGGCTGTTCAAAGGAAAGTTGTTTGAAGCTTTCAAAATCAGAAGATCAAGAAATTTATTTAACTTATTGAAACCACTTACTACCTTTTTTCTAAAATTCTAAAAATTTGCAAACAAATTACCATGATACCAATCATTTTATACAATATTGATTTCATCATACAATATTGGTTTCAAATTTGCACTCGACACATTATACACCAAGGATAATACCAAATAGATAGCGCACCCATAATTTTTTTCTAACAAAAATTAGAAAATTTCACACAAAAACCGCCAAAATACCATTTACTTACCATTTTATTATCATGTTACACTCGTTTGTAACCTCGTCAATTGTACTTCTTATCCTAATACCTTGCAGACTCTATACCTAACCTTGATACATAGCCTGGGTGACCAGAACTTTATAGCATATGTTAGTACATGGGGGTCCTCGCCCATGTACCCCCACCCACTTCAGCTCCAACATCTGCTACTTGCTTGCCTGCGCCATGTTAATAACATGTATGTCTTAGTAAAATTGGTCTATTTTGAAATATAATTTAGCGCTTTCAGTTATCAATATTTAGGGGTATAACCGACCTGGAAGATCCAATAAGTATCTGAAAGTAGTTTTAAGAAAAATCTTAGCTAACTTAATGTTAAGGAAAACTCTAAAAAAGTTTCAAAAACTCTAAAAGGGAACCTATCTTGCTTCCCTTTTTCAAAAATTAATTAAGTGTTAGCAGATATAAAACAGTCAATTTTTGGGAAAAAAAGATCTGATTTCATTTTCTGTCACAATTTCAACAAGTAGCTTAATGATAGGTTTTGTAACTTGAATTGTAACTTGCGCTGCTTATATAACTACAGAACACTCCTATTTACACTCATTCAAATTATCATCCACCTCCTAAACTGCGTAGATGATTTTAATATAGTCTTTTCTTTTCAATACTGATTTAGTAATAATGATTTAAAATTTTTTTGCTCCATTGCCCGAGTTTACCTTCATTACTCGAGTCAAAACAGATTACAGTTCGTCAAAAAATTGATATCAAGCAGGGTTCTGTTTTTGGCTGATCTAACTCCACTGTTCAAACAGGTGAAATGAAACATGACGCAGGGATAGACAATACTTCCCGAGTTGAGATTTTTCACCTAATTTGAAGCAAGATTTGAGCGGTTTGAGCGGTTTTTTTAGACGATTGCCCTCAGAATCTTTCTTCAAAATGAGCGACTTGAACGGTTTTGAGCGGTTTATCTTAAAAAAAAACGCTCAAAAACCGCGCAAGATTTGAGCGGTTTTTGAACGTTTTTTTTTTTAGATAAACCGTTCAAAAACCGCTCAAACCGCTCATTTTCAAGCAAGATTTTGAGCGCAATCGTCTAAAAAAACCGCTCAAACCGCTCAAATCTTGCTTCAAATTAGGTGAAAAATCTCGACTCGAGTGAACTTCAGGCGTGTTTATCGCGGAGCCTTCGCTGGCCCCTTGATATTCTGTCGGGCGTGAACTATTCTACCAGTAAGCGGGTAATTAAAAACTCAGACAGACAAGTTAATTTCAATTGAGTCGTTTCTTTATTGTTCGCCTTTCTACTTGGTTCGTTGCCAGTTGCATCGAAGTCTAAGACGTACAGGCACAGCAAGTGAAATGGTCTGCTTCCACTGAAGATTATTGGCAAGAGCCTTTTGTCCTAAGAATGCAACCTAGAGTCAGCCCCAAATAACATCCTGACACAACACTATGGTGAATTTTCTTCACACAATGTTTTTTGTTTATGCTCATTTTCGGCTACTTCAATTGAAAAACAAAGCCAAAAACAATTTTGAATTTTAAATAATCAACGCATAAAGCATTTAACTAGGCAGCAATTAATTGTATTTAATATAAGTATTATAAATCACTTTAACATAAATGCGTGCTTGATTGTGTTGCTGTTCTTTGGAATGAGAATTTTCTATCGAGCAGTGATAAAAAAGATAACTATTTATAATTATTATGTTCGACATTTTTATTTAATATGTTCAACATGTGTTCTACAAAATAAGAGTAAAACGGCAAAAAAGACAAAAATTTTGATTAATTAAGACCATTTATCAGCTAACCGCTGTTATGCCTCTGCTTAAGAACTACAAGTTTTTTGGTTAATTTTCTGGGCTGTGTAATGCTGCCTCGCCTTCAAGCAACGAGCACGGATCATGGTGGGCCTCGAATATCCGACTTTGCGATTGCTTAGGGGGGCGGATTTGTAGAGCAAGCCAACCTCACCTCCACGGGGTTCCCCCTGGATATGCAGCCCAGGCTATAGAACTAACGAGGCTCTGGCGCGGTCCTCGACCTGTTAAGTCAAGGTTTGGGGCTAGCGACCCCTGTTGAACTCATCTACGAAACCATGAGAACACGATACAAGGGTTATTAAAAAGCTACGCGCCCAGCAGTAACTGGGACACCTGGCACTGCCGCACCAGGTGACCAAGCGAAGAAGGCAAAACCATTCCAACCACCCCCAACCCCCATCACCCCTGCGGAACATCCCCTACGTTTCGCCACCTTGAACATCAGGACATCACTTCAACCTGAAGCGGAAGTTGTCCGAAGACCTCAGTGCCCAAAAGATCGATATCGCCTGTATCCAGGAGACCCGCATCACTGGAGACACAACAAAAACCCTACACAACTCACGTGATGAAGCGGAGTACCGACTCTACTGTTCAGGACATAAAGAGAAAAAAGGAGGACTGCATGGTGTCGCAGTGGCAATTACTCGGACTCCTAAGATAATCGACTAAGTCAGAAGCTAATCGGACTCAGCATGGAGTGGCAAGCATGCGGGCCAAGACTTTGTAAGCTTAGAATCCCTGCAAAACCAGTATCGCCCGCAATCATCTGCGCCTACGCTCCATTCGAGGACAGCGACGAGGAGTAAAAAGACCAGTTCTACGTGTCTCTCCACGATCTTCTTTTCAACGCCCCACGGAAGGACTCCTTACTGATCGGAGGCGACTTCAACGCCAAAATTTGCCAGCCGGGTGATGGAGAAGAAAAGAACATCAGGCGATTCTCAATTGGACAACAGAACTCAAATGGTGAAAGACTTGCTAGATTCTCCCTGCTGAGCGACCTCAGCAGCACGAAGTTCCGCAAAAAAAGACACAAGCTCTACACTTGGACTTCAAACGACCACAAAACGGGGAACCAGATTGATCACATTGTCATCTTAAGACGATGGCGCACCTCCATAATAAACATCGACAACAGAACAGTAGTCTCCACCATACAGCTGAAACTGAAGTCCTACTCAAAATATCTACGCGTCGCCAAGTATAACCTCGCCAACCTCCGCAAGGACGAAGTCTCCACCACGTACAAAATGAAGCTCCATGAACTGTTTGACAAGGCGGAAGCTAAGGGGAACGTGGACGCGATGTGGACGCAAATGAAGGACATCATACACTCAGCGGCAGCAAAAACCATAGGATCCACGAAACGCAAGAAAAACCCGTGAATCAGCACCGATACCCTCTAATTGATCGAAAAGAGAGCCCGTGCCCGCATGGGCTCTACAAAAGCCTTCCTACGACGAGAAGTCAAGAAATCGGTCCGAAAGGACAGAAAGGCATTCTACGACGGACTGGCTGAACAGATGACCCACGCGGATAACACCGGTTACGCACGGAAGGTGCACTCAATTGCTAAGCAATTTTCCAGTAAACACAGTGGACTCAGCGAGAATATCAAAGACTCACAGGGGCAGCTCGTGACGGACGCTAACGAGAGGATAGAAACCTCGGCAATGCACTTCGAACAACTGCTCAACAGACCTGCACCAGCGGAAAATCACATGGAAATGAACACGGCTAAACCCTTCTCTAGCGTAGAAACGGCACCGCACTCCACACAAGAAATCCGCGATGCATTAGACAAACTGAAAGCAAACAAAGCCAGAGGAATTGACAATATCCTCCATAACTTTTCAAAGAAGGAGGAATCCCACTGCTCGAAAAGCTCACATAACTGATAAGGCCATCTGAACTGAGCGCGAGATCCCAGCAGAGTGGAAAACAGCTGTGATCACGCCCATCTTCAAAAAAGGCGACCGAGCTAACTATTCTAACTACAGGGGATTTTCGCTACTTTTGATTGCATTCAAAATTCTTGAAGCTGTATTTAAGAAGAGACTCGAACCGGCTTACGAGTCTCACGCCAGGATAAACCAAGCCGGCTTCAAGAAGAAAAGTGGGTGCAGGGACCAAATTCGCCATCAGACAAATCAAAGAACGGCGAGAGGAATTCAAACGCTGCACCAACCTCATCTTCATTGATTTCAAAGCGGCCTTCGTTAGCGTAGATCAGAAGTGCATTTGGCGAAAATGCTCAAACCTTGGCCTCCCTGAGAACCTAGTTGAACTGCTAAGATCCATGTATTCAGAGACGTATAGCCAAGTCCGCGCTTACAAGTCCCTTTCCAAAAGTTTCAAAATACATAGTGGAGTCAGACAAGGCTCGATTTTAACCCGTTTTCTTTTTAATCTCACTGTAGACTGGATCATGATTGAAACTCTGAAAAATGAAAGGCTCGGAATAGCGTTAGACGACACCTCAGTCGCAGATCTCGATTTTGCAGACGATATCTGCCTCCTTGAGGATAACGGCCCAGACGCGTAAAGACTGCTAAAAAAATTACCGAGAAGGCAGTACTCATTGGGCTCCAGATTATCGTCAGCGATACAAAGTGTTGTTCACAAGACCTATCCCAGACATTTCAAATCGACGGTGAGGACATCGAATTAGTGGAGAGCTTCGAGTATCTTGGCAGCAAAATCCAACTTGACTGAAACATCTCCCCCGAGATTAAATCAAGGATTTGGAAAGCAGCTGGCAGCTTCAAAAACATGAAGAACGTCTGGAACGCCAAGAAGATCCCGCAAGACACTAAAATAAACCTGTACATGGCCTGCGTACGGAGCGTCTTGCTCTACGGTTGCGAAAGCTGGCCAACCAAACAGTCGGATCTGAAATCCATCCAATTATTCGAGAACAGATGCTTACGACACATCTTGCACAGATGAACGACTACCCCCACGGTTGAACTGTTGAACACAGCTAGGCTGACACCTCTGGCCAAAACTATACAAGCTCGAAGGTTGAAGTGGCTGGGGTATGTGCTCCGCATGGACCAAAGAGAAATCTTAACTGCAGCTTTAGAATTCGAGCAAGCAGACAACTGTCGAAGGCCACCCGGCGGTGTGAAGCAGACTTGGCGAAAGATCATCCGAGACGAACTCTCAAAGCTCATCAAACCCCCCGCATGACACACAAGAGGTGGGAAAAGGAATGATGCCTGCAAAAGCCCCACTTGGACTGGGAATTTTTGCCTTGAAATATAAATGATGACGATTCAGAAAATTGATGAACGGATCTTCTGAAGTATCATCATTTAGAATCTTATGTAAAAATTTTTTGAGTGAAGTTGTATCCCGCAATCAGTAAAAAGAGAAAATATTAGATTATAAGATTATAATTCATTTTTATTGTCAGTCTCCTGGGATTCGCCCTGTGGGATTCGCCCCACCCACCCTCTGGGATTCGCCTCCCCCCTCTGGGATTCGCCCCCCCCCCCTCTGGGATTCGACCCCCCCCTCTGGGATTTGACCCCTGCCGACCCAAAAGATCTCTCCATTGCCCCCCTGTTTTGAGATCCCCCTATAGTTTGAGGTCCTCCCACTATTTTGAGATATCCATTTTTGGTAACGGGCCCTAAAAACTTTCTAAAGGCGCCTTGCGCTTCAATTTCTAATGATTTTGAGGGGTAGTGCACGCCCCCAACAACTCGTTTTTTGGTCAAAATTTTCCAAAATTGCCTAAAAACGCCATTTTGGGCGTTTTTTTTTCAAAATTTTGCCTGCGCGCTTAAAATTTGACGGAAACAGGGTCTTTTTAATGCCTTGGAGAGCTTGGAACCAATACGACCCCCTCGCAAAAAACCTAGATCCGCCCTGGCTTACTGATTCATTCTTCTTACTTACTTTTGTTGTGTTTTTATGCAGAATAGCTAAATTATAATCCATTAAACTTGATTTTTTTTTGTAAAAAAAATTTTGATAGAAAAAGGAATTATAATCAGTTATAATAGATTATAATAGGTTACAAGAGATTCTAAGAGTTTAAAAGAGATTTTCGGAAAAGATATAATCAATTATAATTGATTATAATTTTTTAAACTTCACCAAAAACGTTATCATTATAATGTTTTATAAATCGTTTAAACATCTAAAATTGGCGTTTTGAATTAATTATAACTTTGCTAAAAGTACGATTATAATTATAATATAATCGATTATTTTCTCTTTTACTGAGTGCGGGAAGAGATCTGTTGAAATATCGCGCGGGTTGACCTCCATGGAACTTAAAGCTAATCATACAATTCCATAAACTAAGTCTATGAAAAAATACTAGTCATACAAATTTCATACATTTTGCTGAAATGGTTTCATTGATTTTTCGAACAACTTTTTCTCTTATTTTGGCATAAAATTCGGTGTATCGTACTAAATAAAAAACAAAAAATTTTTGTCAAAAATTTTCTAATCATACAATTTCCATATATCGCAAATGTATGGCTAGCATTTTTTTGATGGCGGCGAATTTTTTTGTGGTTTTTTCAACCGCAAATTGATTTTCGTACTCAAACAAACATTTTCTGAAAAAATAAATTTTGCATGCAAAGTTTAATTTTTTGTGTGTATAACGTAACCCTGGATATACTGTTATTGGATTTTTTTTCTTTTCTCTTCATAACTTTGTCACAAACGTTTAAAAATCCTCTTCCTTTTGTATGACATGTTTTTTTACGCCTTCATGAATGTCTGGTAATATTAAAACTCAAATTTTAGAAAAAACCATCTGTGAAAATTTTTGTCAAAACTTAAAACTTCGTTACTTTTAAATTTATTGTTTGTGTCTGACAGAATTAAAACATTTCAGGCCGTTTCCAATGCATTTTTAATGCAAGACGGCCAAACATTTGGTTACTACGATTGAGTAACCAAGGTGTATGACAATTGTGTTCGGTTACGTGTTGTGTTCGAGAAAATAAAATGCAAAACATCAATTTTTTTTGGTTTATGGAAAGATGCTGGTCATACAATTTCCATATATGAAAAAAAAAACTAATCATAGACCTTTAATGCAATTTTCTGTACTTATGGAATTGCATAAAAAGTGTATGACTAGCATTTTTCCATATTTATGGTGTTTGAAGTTTTTGCTTAGCCTATTTTAAAGAGAAGTAACGTAGAAAGACAGGAAAACTTTCCTTTTATGCATGATTATTCTGCAAGCAAAGGGAGCGCGTTTGCACCGATTTCCCATGCATTCGAAAACTTACTTGGAATCATAATCAAAAAGCAATTCAAATATACAACTTTACGAAGCTTAACAAAAAATGCCAGCAACAAAACTGCTCATTCGAGGGCAAAACTTTGAATGTTCCGATGCTCTAAAACGTCCGCTGATTTTTTTCATTTTAAAAGGTGATAGTTGAAACGAAAAAAATCATTACCCATATGCTATACTATGAACCATGAAGATATTATTGGGGCTAAAACCTGCCTCAATTTACTTTGGAACATTTCTGAGCCAGATTATTTTGGCCATAATTTGCCTGTACCTAGCAAATTTTCCATATCAGATCTGAAATAAGGTTTTTTGAAATCTAAATTTTAGATCTGAAATGGTTTGTGAAATGTTTAAATAACGCTTGGATACTTTAAAGATGGGCTATTTCAATTCTAATTTCAGATCTGAATTTTTGTTTTTCTTGGTTATTTCAGCTCTGAAAAATTAATGATTCTGACTGAACTAATGCTATTTTTGATACTTGTGTATCTGACAGCTTCTGCTTACTACCAGCAGGTACTCAGCAAAGTCTCCAATGGGAGACTGTCAAAACATCTTTTCAAGCACGAGATAAACATTGCAAACGCAAAAACAGCACATGAAAAACAAAATTTTGAAGTGTTTTAACAGTTTAAGAAAACAAAAACAGTTGAACAAAATTTTTAGTTCAAAAAACGGTTAGTGAAAGAATTCGGAACTTTTTTTCCTGATCTAAATTTTATTGCGTATTGTAGAAACATCAAAATAAAACAAATTTAACTGTTTGTTTAAAATGCAAAAATTTTAATTAAGCAAAATGTTTCTCAGATCTAATGTCAGATCTGAATTTTCGTTTATCAAGGTTATTTCAGCTCTGAAAAATTATTGATTCTGACTCAACTGTTGCTATTTTTGATACTTGTAAATCTGACAGCTTCTGCTTACTACCAGCAGATACCCAGCAAAGTCTCCAAAGGGAGACTGTCAAAATATCTTTCCTCAAGCACGAGATAAACATTGGAAACGCAAAAATCGCACATGAAAATCAAAATTTTGATTTGTTTTAACAGTTTATTAAAACAAAAACAGTTGAACAAAATTTTAGTTCAAAAAATAGTTAGTGAAAATATATATAAGTTTAAACATGCCTTTCGCAAAAAGAATCAATCTAATAACCCAAATACAAATTTTTTTTCCTTCACAGTGTTTGTTTTTCTCTCTTTAGCTAAAAGGTGGCTGCTTGCAGGAAAGCATGGTGGGGTTAAAAATGAACATCAAATTTATTAAGTTAGTTCTCACGCTTTTCACCAGGACGATTTCCAAAAAACATTTCAGTTAAAAACACCTAGTTTGGCATTTTGAAAACATTTTTGAATCTGCTTGAATCAAAAACTTTGACTCATTTTTGAAACAAATCAAACGTGGATTAATTCGGATGCCAAGATTCGAAACTAAAAAACCCATAATTAAATTTTTATAGGAACGAGCAAACTTTTTCGCTTTTTTAGCCCTATGCTTTCTTTCAGATAATTTGAAGTCTTTATGTAATCACTGGAACATTACCTGTCAAATCCATTAAAATTTTCAAATTTATTCTATTTTTAAAATCAGTGCGACAAGAAAATTCAAGGAACAAATTGA